GTACAACACATCAGCCGTGTGCAACACAGCACCAGTGTACACCACAATGCCTGCGTGCACTACAGCGCCTGTTTACGCCACGGCGCCTCTGTGCGCCGCAGCAACCGTGCGCAACAGAACACATTTGTTGCATGTAGAATTTGAGAGGTAGTCCTTATAACAAAATGAAGCGCCTGTGGATCCCACAGGAAACAATGGTTTTATGTAGTTTTTGACAGCATCCGTATGGAAAGAGTAGCGCCGCAGTCCCCCCGCATCATCCCAACTCCTTCCATATGCGTCCAGGAGACTCCAGCAGAAGTGTCCATCCGAGAACCAAGTGGACTGACTCAAAAGTCCATTATGCGGTGCGCGCTGAGATGCGCACGTGCGCTATAGCGCCGACCCGCACGACAGGGGGGAAGGGTGAGGGAGGAGGAGGAGGAGGAGGAGGAAGTGAAGGTGGAGGTGGAGGAGGTGGTGGGGATGGAGGTGGAGGGAGGAGGGAAAAACGTCCCATTCTACTATCAACACTTCCCTGGCTCGGTGTTCAGATGTCCGCAGCAGATCCTCACTTACATGCTCCTTCTATCTGTCCTGTGCATGCAGGCGCTGTGGTGTACACCAGCGCTGCGTTGCACGCGGATGCTGTGCTGTAGACAGGGTCTGTGGTGTGCACGGGCGCTGCGGTGCACGCAAGCATTGTGGTGTAAACAGACGCTTTGGCGCACAGGGTTGCTGCGGTGTGCACATTCACTGTGGTGTACACCGGCGCTGTGGTGCACACAAACACTGTGGTGTACAACACAGGCGCTGCGTTGCACACGGCTGTTGCGGTGTACGCAGGCGCTGTGGTGTACACTCGCGTTGTGGTGCACGCGAGCATAATGGTGTACACAGGCGTTGTGGGGCAAATCGCCACCTACATGTTGTTCCTACCTGGCCTTTGTCATCCCTAGGCATTCCCGGACGCCCGGAACATTGAAGAACAGGCTCCTGCGTTGCCGGAGCCACACGGCGGGGGGGTGCGTTACATGATACCCCCCCCGGCCCCATCTCCCCCCTATAACGCCATCGCCAAAAAAATGCCAACAGGCTCCTCGCTAGGACCGTGGCCCCAAAGGGAGCTCCACCGAAGGTCCCAGGGGCAAAACCCGCATGCGTCCGACCCACCCATTTCGGCACACCCCTCACAAGGATCGCGGCCCCATAGGGGGCTCCACCGAAAATCCCAGGGGCGCCGCCCGCATGCGCCCGACCCACCCATTCCGGCACACCCCTCACGAGGATCGCGGCCGCATAGGGGGTTCCACCGACAGGCCCAGGGGCGCCGCCTGCATGCGTCCTACCCGCCCATTTCGGCACACCCCTTCCCGAGGATCGCGGTTGCATAGGGAGCTCCACCGAAGGTCCTAGTGGCGCCGCGCACATGCGTCCTACCCGCCCATTTTGGCACACCCCTCACGAGGGTCGTGGCCCCATAGGGAGCTCCATCGAAGGTCCCTTCCGGCCCACAGATCTCGGAAGTTTCGCTGCCCCACAGGGGGGTCCGCCGAAGGTCCCTGCGGCCGTCATCGCGCGCACCTGCCCGGCCATTTCGGCACACGTTTCGTGGCCCCATGAGGAGTTCCACCGAAGGTCACAGCGGCCGTCATCGCATGCGTCTCCCCCACAGTTCGCATGCAGCACTGGCCCCATCTTGGCACACCCCTCATGCGGTTCGCCCGTCTCACGCGATTCGCGGCCCCATAGGGACTTCCCCTCGATCTTCCCGCCTGCGCTGCGGTGTTCATAGCTGCATCTGTATGGTTGGGTCCTGCGCCAGGCTCAGTAAAAGGACTGTGCGCGTCGCTAAGGCGAGAGCCACACTGAGAAGGAACCGCCCTCAGACCGTGAAACGCATGCAAGTGTTTAGAACGAATGTGCGCGGCGGTAAGGCGAGGGCCACAGGTTGAAAACGGCTCGCCCTCAATCCGTAATTTTTCTACGAATGCTTAAAACGAATGTGCCCGTCGCTGAGGCGCGAGTAAAATGTTGAAAAAGACCCGCCCTCAATCAGTGCAAATCTAGCAATGTTTTAAGACGAATGTGCCGGGCGCGAAGGCGAAAACCACATTTTGAAAACGACCCGCCCTCTATCCAGGAGACTCTTGCAACTGTTTAAACGAACGTGCGCGGCGCTGAAGCGAGAGCCATATTTTGGAAGCGGCCCGCCCTCCATCTGTAAAGTTGTTGCCAGCTTTTAAGCTTGACGCCCATACATGGTAAGGAAGTCTCAGGCGAAACAGCCTGCCCGCCCTTCCGACTGGCCTCTGGGTGCGACAGAGGAGTTATTTCAGAAGGAGAAGGAATGGAAGAGATCGAGGAGAGGGAGGAAAGAGAGGGCCCCCCCTCAGGGAGATTTTCGGGGAGTTGCCCAGGGCCCGGCAGTCTTCGGCCTTCCCTGCCCCCCGCCGTCCCACTGTCCAGTGTGGGATGGCTCGGGTGGGGTGTGCCAGTGTTGCCATCGACGTGGAGCGAAGCAACTTGCGCATCAGAAGTGCTTCATGCTTCCGCCCTCCACGGAAGAGCTGATCAGGTGTGCCAGGAGACCCACCGAATTACGACCCAGGTGGCGGTGGTGGAGAAAACCGGCATGCCAGTTCTTTTTCCCGACCATCCTGTGGTGTTGGGTCCGCTTTTTGAAGAGACAGCGCCCCGCGTTCCTCTCCTTCTCCCCCTCCTCCATCCTTCCGCCTTTGCCGTTGCCCCCTGTCAACATCACCATCACCCCTTGTCCTCATCGTCATCAGCATAGCCATCATCATCGTCATCATCATCACTATTTCGAACAATATCCCTCTGTCTTCTGCATTTCCTCATCGTCGTCATCATCATCCTCAGCAGCAGCATCATAATAATCAGGATCATCATCATCAGCAGCATTATCATCATCATCATCATCGTCAGCATCAGCGTCATCCTCATCCTGGCCCTCATCCATTCCCATCCTCGTCGCCCCCTCCCCACATTGGCACAACCCTCACACGTTTCTCGTGGTCCACACCTAAGGACCCAGTGGCTGAGTCCGCATGCCGCCACCCCCCTCACTTCGGCACACCCTTCACACGTTTCGTGGCCCCACAGGGAGCTCCACCTAAGGTCTCAGTGGCTGCGTCCGCATGCGGCCACCCCCTTACGTTGGCGAAGCCCTCGCACGTTTCGTGGCCCCATGGGGAGCTCCACCGAAGGCCGCCCTGCGGCGGAGGGGGAGGGCACCAGTTTCTCGAGCCGCGCCTGGCCGCGGCGAGCCGGAGGGCGTACACGCACCCGATCCGACATCCCCCTCGCACGCTCCGTGGCCCCATAGGGAGCTTCGCCGAAAGCCCTGGCGGCAGGATGCGCATGGCGCTCCCGCATCCGATTCGGCACATCCCTCACACGCTGCGTGGCCCCCATAGGGAGCTCCTCCCAAAGCGCCAGCGGCACGGCCCGCATGGCGCACTCGCACCCGATTCGGCACACCCAGCATACGCTTCGTGGCCCCATAGGGAGCTCCACCGAAGACCCCGGCGGCAAGGTCCGCGTGGCGTAGCCGCGCCCGGTTCAGCACATCCCTCACAGGCTTCGTGATCCCAGAGGGGTTCTCCACCAAGGGCGCCACCGTCAGGCTCCGCATGGCGCGCACACGTCCGATCCGGCGCACCCAGCACGCGCTTCGTGGCCCCAGTGTGAGCTTCACCGAAAGCTCCACGGGCAGGGTCCGCATGATGTACCCGCGCCCGTTTCAGCATACCTGCCACACGTTGTGTGTCCCCATAGTGAGCCCCGCTGGAGGCCCCAGCGGCAGGGTCCGCATGTCTTTACCCGCACACGAGTCGGCACACCAGTCACACGCTTCGTGGCCTCGAAGGGGGCTCCACCGAAGGCCCCAGCGGCAGGGTCTGCATGGTGCACCCGAACCCGATTCGGCACACCCATCACACGCTTCGTGGCTCCGGAGGGAGGGCCACCGAAGACCCCTGCGGCAGGGTCCGCATGGCGCACTCGCATCTGATCTGGCACAACCCTCGCACCCACCGTGGCCCCATGAGGAGCTCCAACGGAGGCGACAGCGGCAGCATCCGCATGGCGCACTCGCATCCGATCGGCTCACCCCTCACACGCGTCGTGGCCTCAATGGGAGCCCCATCCAAGGCTCGAGTGGCAGGGCCCGCCCGGCGCACCCGGCCCATGGCTGCACACCCCCTGCTCCTCCCCCCCTGCTCGTCTTCACTTGCTTGTGGCGTCCGCAGCTTCACGGTCCCTCTTTTCCACCTCGGTCCCCCCACTTGACTTCACCCCCACACAGAGTTTAACTTATTTCTTGCCCTGAAATGCGCAAGGGCACCCTTTGGAGGCGGGGCTAGGGTGTCGGTTTTTCGGTCAGGTAAGGCCGTTGGTCCACCTGGACTTGTGGAGCGTTTGAACGTTTGGAGGAGGAACAAGAGGATGATGAGCACAATCAGGGAAGAGGAAGAAGAGGAGGATGATGACGACGACGACGACGACGACGACCGACGACCGACGACGGACCACGGAGGACGACGACGACGATGCACGCCGCACGACGACGACGACGCCGACGACGACGACGAGGACGAGGAGGAAGAGGGGGCAGGTCTGATAATAGTGGCGTGACGAAGGACCAGATGAGCATGAGCGGAGAGAGCAAGAGAAGACCCGGGAGCGGAAGCATGAGCGGGACAAGCATCGGGTGGATGACTAGGCGGAGGGGAGGTTTGGCGGCGAGCCAGGGGGGGACGTGGGAAGGAGAAGGCCTTCTCAGCAGGCGGCGGGACTTATCAGAGGCCCTCGCGCCAGCCGAGACGTTCTTGGTGTCTTCGAATACAGCGCAGACAACCTTTCAGAAGGCCGGGGCACTGCGGAGACTTCTGAGACGGCCCGCCCCTTGTCACTTCCCCCCCGTGCTCGCCGCCGGGAGTGCGGGAGGGGAGAGCAGACCCGATCTTGCTTGTGCCTGCCGTGGCCCGTGTGCGCAGACTTTGGTGAGCATCTGCGACGGCGTGGAGTCCGAGTGCGCCGACGTGCTGGCGGTGCCGCTCTGCAGTCTCCGTCCCTCCACGTCCCCCTGCCCTCATTGGGAGGGGTCCGAGGAAGAGGGGACGGACGCAAGGAAGGTCGAGGGAGAACCGAGGGGTCGCAGGACGAGGGGCCGGGCTGAAGAGAGGCCGCCCTTTCATACATCCCTCGCACTCATCCATCCTTCGCACTCATCCCCTCATCGTCATCCTCATCCATCCTTCGCACTCATCCATCCTGGAGATGTCTTCCCCTCATCCATCCTTCGCACTCATCTCAAGCTCTGCGCTGCCGCTTCTCCCCCGCCGCCCCGAGGGCCGACTTCTGCACAGGTTCCACCCGTCGCCCAGGTTGCCTCCTGGCAGCCCGGGCGCTGTGAGAGGTCTCCGGGGCAGCCCCCGCGGCCTCAGAGCGCACACTGTTGCTCCGGCTGTGATGGTATGTTGCGGACGTGGGTCTGCAGCAGTGCAGAAGTCGCGGTTTCCAATCGGGAGTTGAAAGAGGAACGGCATGAACAGCAGCAGCTAGATGATGCTTATCATGATGAGGAGACGGGAGATTAAGAGGATGATGGGAGTGAGAAAATGATGTGGTGGATGTGGAGAACGAAGTGAAGGTGGAGTGGAGATAGCGTAAGAGGACGAGCAGGAGGAACCGCATCAGAAGCAGCATCAGCAGGAGGAGCAATACTACAGGGGGAAGAGCAGTAGAAGGACCAGTAGTATCAGCAGCCACATTGGCAGGGTGGTGGTAGGAGAACGAGGAAGGAGAGGGTATGGATGCAGGAGGATCAGTAGAGGAATTAGATGGAACCACAGTTGTATATACTTATATATATATGGAGTGAAAGAGGTGTATACATGTATATCAATATCTGTATATAGGTTCATGTGCTTATACATGTATATATATGTGTGTATATATATACACGCACATCTTTGAGTGAGGGGGCTGAACGGTCATTCATTGTTCCTGGGTGCATGGCTGAAGTGGAGTTTCGCGGCACGGATTCTGATGATTATTGTTGATCCCCCCCTTTCTGGTGCGCATTGCGTTTTCAAGGAAAGTGCTCCTCCCTGGGCTCGCATATCGTTTTTGATCAGTGAAAGTGTTACTCCTCAAACTGCTGTGTTGGGCCCCGAACTACAACAACGGCTCCCGCCTGATATTTTCACAGTTGGTTGAAACATCTCGTTTTCGCGCGGGACTTCCTCGCAAGTTATCCAGGATGCGCTATCTCGCGTGGAATTTCCTCGCAAGTTATTGCGGCGCCGTGCCCCACACGCTCAGGAATCACGCTTTCGCTTTGGATGTCCTGACGAATTAGTTGAAAGTCGCGCTATCTCTCGAAACTTCTTTTGCAATTCATGTTGGATTGACGCTTCGGCAACCCGCCTGCTCGACCAGGCCATCTGGGCCCGCCCGCCCGACCTGTCCGTTAGGGTCCGCCCCCCGACCCGCCCGTCTGGTTATTCCGCTTACACTCCTGCTCCTAACCCCTTTTCTGCAAATCTCTCTCGTGCTCCATCCTTTTGCTTCCCCCCTGTCCCTTCCTTCCTGCCTCCCTTCTCTGCTGCGCCAGCTATACGCTGCGCACGCGAGCAGGTCAGAGCGAACAGTTTTAAAACGAGTGCTGTGTTTGTTGCTGGTGGAGGTGTTGTTGTTGTTTATGGTGGTGTTGTTTTTGTTGTTGTGGATGTGGATGTGGTTGTGGTTGTGTTTGTTTTGTGGTTGGTGTTGGTGTTGGTGGTGCTGCTGTTGTGTTCGATTGTATGGTTGCTGTTGTTGTTGCTGTTGTTATTGCTGTTGTTGTTGTTGTTGTTGTTGGTGTTGTTGTTGTTAGTAGTAGTAGTAGTAGTAGTAGTGGTGAGCTGTTGTTGTTGTTGTTGCTGCTGCTGTTGTTGTTGTTGTCGTTGTTGAGTTCTCATGTATGACAATAGTCATCGTTGCTCCCCCTTCGGTGCCCATTGCGACCTTCAATTCAAGTGTTCCTCCCAGAGCTCGCACCCTTGCTTGTACTAGGGGAAGTGTGGGGTCACCAAATTGCCCCCCCGACTTACAACAACGGCTCCCGCATGACATGTCCTTACAATGTATTTGAGAATCGCGTTCTCGCGCGGGACGTCTTCACGATGTACGCAGGGATCGCAATCTCGCGTGCGGCTTCCTCTCAATTGACTCAGGCGCCGCGCCCTCAACACTCAGGAATTATGCTCTCGCTTTGGCCTGCCTCAGGGTTTCCGTGGGAGTCTCGCTATCGCTCGAGACTTCCTCGCGAGTCATGCAGGACCCACGCTTCAACAACCCGCCTGCTCGACCTGGCCGCCTGGGCCCGCCTTCCCGCACGTTAGGGTCTATTCGCCCGACTTGCCCGTCTGGTTCTGCCACGTGTGGTCTACGTCTTGCCCCCCTCCCGCCAATCTCTCTCATGCTCCATCCTTGCCCCTCCCCTTTCCATCAGTCCTCACCTCCCTTGCATTAGGGGCTGCGATAGATACACGTGGCAGGTAGGGAACATCATACCCCCAAGGGGGCACGATCGAAGACGAAGAGGGCGCGACTGGAGGGTTTGTGAATCATAGATGGTACGTATTGTTGGTCCAACTCGATGCCCGTTCTATGTTTTTTCAAGTAAAGTGCTCCTCCCGGGGCTCGCAACGTGTTTCTAACAAAGAAAAGATGGTGTCACCAAACTGAACTCCTGGCCCCCGACTAGCATTAACCACGGCTCCCGCTGACATGTCCTTACAATGGATTGAGGAATTGCGTTCTCGTGCGGAGTTTCCTTGCAATCTATGCTGCGCCCTCGACATTGAGGAACCGCGATCTCGTTTTGCCCTTTATCGCGATGCCTTTGGCATTGGCGCTATCGCTCCAGCCTTTCTCGCGATCCATGCAGGCTTCAGCACCCCCCCTGCTTGACCTGACCGCCTGGGCCCGCCTTCCCGACCTGCCCGTCTGGTTTTGCTACGTGCGTTCTGTTCCTAGCCCCCCTCCTGCTAACCTCTCACGTGCCCCATCTTTCCCCCCCTTGACCCTTCCTTCCTTCCATCGTCCTCTCTTCCCCTGCATTAGGGGCTGCGCTAAATAGACGTTGCGGTTAAGGAGGGTAGACCCACGCGGGTACGATCGAAGACGAAGAGGGCGGGTATGGAGGGTTTGTGATTGAAGTGTTGAATGTCACGCGATGAGATAGCAGCGAGCAGTTGTGAAATGATCGTTATTGTGTTTTCATCCTTGAGAAATAAGTATTGTTGATCCCCCCGGTGACCGTTGCATGTTTCAATTAATGTGTTCCTCCCGGGGCTCGCCCCCTGTCTTTCATTATGGAAAGTGTGTGGCCGCCAAACTGCGCCCCTGGCCCCTGGTTTACAGCAACAACAGCAGCAGCAGCAACAACAACAACGGCTCCCGCTTGATACCTCTTCAGAAGATTTTTCAATTGTGCGTTCTCGCGAGGGACTTCGTCATGATTTATTCAGGAGTCGTGCTCTCGCGTGGTACTCCCTCACAATGTATTGCGACGCCGTGCCCCTAAGACTCACAGATCACGTTCTCGCTTGGGATGTCCTAACGATTTACTTGGAACTCGCGTTATCGTTCAAAACTTCCTTCACGATGGGTTGACGCTTGAGCGACTCGCCCGCTCGACCTGGCCGTCAAGGCTCGCCCGCCCGACCTGCCCGTTGGGGTCCGCCCGCCCGACACGCCAGGATGTTTCTGCCGCTTGTGCTGCTGCTCCTAGCCCTCCTATTGCAATGTTCCCTCGTGCTCCATCCTTCTCCCCCCCCCTTAGTGACAAGGAGGGGAGGAGTGAAGAGACAAGGGCCTTGTCTCTTCACTCCTCCCCTCCTTCCCTGGTTTAGGGCCTGCGATCGAAGATGAAGAATGTGGGTACTGAGGTTTTGCGATATACGTAATGAATGGCACGCAAGCGGATAAAAGCGAGGAGTCTGAAAATGGCAATTGCTGTTTTCGATGTTGTTGTTGTTGGTGTTGTTGTGGTGGTGGTTGTGAGTGTTGTTGTTATTGAATCCCTATTTCTCAGTAATAATTATAGAATCGCTTCGCTCATTCCGCCGGCCCTTACAGTCGCACCTCTGTAGATTTGGGGGTGTATTCCTGAGGGGGTCGCAGTGACTTCGGATTTGGTTTCGGGGGTTCGTCGCAGATTATGGCGGGGTTGTCCTGGGGCAATCGTGGGTGATCACGGGTCTGGTCGGTGATTTATTCCGAACCCTCCTTGGCTGGGTATTCGTTTTGAATAGAGGGGTGTGGTCGCGTCCTCCTCCCGCCTCCCGCCTCCTCCTGCCCTCTCTTCGCCGACGATGGGGGCTGCGATCTGCGACACTGTCGCCACTTTCGAGGGCTGCTGGCGGGTCCATCGGAGTGAGGCACCGCGGGGATCTGAGCGAGACCTCGCCGTCCTTGGGGGGCTGCGATCTGCGAAACCGTCGCCACTTTCGAGGGCTGCTGGCGGGTCCAGCGGAGTGAGGCACCGCGCAGATCTGAGCGGGACCTCGCCGTCCCTGGGGGGCTGCGATCTGCAAAACTATTGCCACTTTCGAGGGCTGCTGGTGGGTCCTGCGGAGTGAGGCACCGCGCAGACTGAGCGGGACCTCGCCGTCCTTGGGAGGCTGCGATCTGCGAAACTGTCGCCACTTTCGAGGGCTGCTGGTGGGTCCTGCAGATTGAGGCACCGCGCAGATCTGAGCGGGACCTCGCCGTCCCTGGGGGGGGCTGCGATCTGCGAAACTGTCGCCACTTTCGAGGGCTGCTGGTGGGTCCAGCGGAGTGAGGCACCGCGCAGATCTGAGCGGGACCTTGCCGTGCCTTGGGGGGCCGCGATCTGCGAAACTATCGCCCTTTTCAAGGGCTGCTGGTGGGTCCTGCGGAGTGAGGCACCGCGCAGATCTGAGCGGGACCTCGCCGTGCTTGGGGGGCTGCGATCTGTGAAATCGTCGCCATTT